ACAACAAACTAGTCTGAATGTAATACAGTCAAGGGTTCTAGAGTGATATAACTCAGACAGCATTTCATTATTTTCCTTTCACCTTGATCTTTTAGATATAGCCTTGAGTTTGGATCCTGACATACCTTAAGGTTATAGGCAACAACATACTTAAGAAATAAACAACAATATTAAAAAGTTCTCTGGGAAATGAACTTGGTTGGTCACGAGATCAAATCCTGTGAAGCCCGAAGATTTGATCACATACCAACCAAGTTCATTTCCCAGTGAACTTTTTAACATTGTTGTTTATTACTTTTATTTACATTTGAGACGATTATTCTGAATAGAACTGCATTTATTACACGAATGGTCCGCCGTATTGCTATGTGACGCGCAAAGACCTAGAAGCTGTTTGGTCTTGAGAGTTCGCCTCGCTCCAACATTTGAATACTTACGTTGATGTTCAGCAGTCCAGTTCAGCAAATATCTGTTCATAATGAAAAACAATGATCGCTACTGAGAATAATCTTACTATTATTGTATGAGTTCTTTATATATGAAGTCAAAAGCGGTGCTATCGTCTTCAGTTTGTTACATACCTTCAAAGGAATTTCGGGTTAAAAAGGTAAGCGTGATTTTAGGCTAATTAGAAACATTCTTCACACCGAAGAAAGATCTAATGATCATTTTTGAATGAAAAAAAATATATGTTTCAATAATTTTATCTTTTTCATCGCTTTAATGGCTTAGAAGTTCCGAAACCAGTGTCACTGTGACAGAAATATGTAGACAAGATATCGTCTTGCTGTGTGATTCGTTCACGCCATGACTTCTGACCCCCTAATAAGTTCATACAGAATTGAACATATTTTCTCTTCAATAGGTTCATCTAAGAAAATCTTTGCAAATGTAAATAATAAAGTTTGAATCCATTCCAAACAAAGGTTCAAGAGCTTTGGTCTGGAAACATTTTTAGCTCACCTCAACAAAGTTGGGGGAGCTTATGTAATACCCTCAGCGTCGGCGTCCCAGGTTAAGGTTTTTGGAGCAGTTTTCTTTTCAAGTACTTCTATGGCCTATATTAGTCAGAGATGCATGGAGGATGCTTCTAGTGTGTTTTATTGTACCAGTCAAGGTTTCAGATGCTGCAGTTTCAGCTAAAGATTGACCAGGTTAATGTTTTTGGAGCAGGTTAAAGTTTTTGGAGCAGGTCTCATTTCCAAGTAACTATAAGCCCTATATTGACTAAACTTGCATGGATGATACATCTAAGGATGCACACTACTGGACTTGCTTTGGATGCTGAATCTGACCTATATTTTATGGATGAGTGACCAGGTTAAAGTTTTTGGAGCAGATGTCATTTCCAAGTAACTATAAGCCCTATATTGACCAAACTTGCATGGATGATACATCTAAGGATGCACACTACTGGACTTGCTTCGGATGCTGAATTTGACCTATATTTTATGGATGAGTGACCACGCAGGTAAGTTAAGGCTAGGTATAGGCAATTTTATGCAAATAATTTAATTAAAATGGTTAAGGACTAAAATTATTATACAGAGAAAGTTAAAACTTATTGTCTTATACACACTTGGTACCCACGACATGAGATAGCCAGTACACATTTTGACGTCATATTATGACGTCATTGTTCTTAAGTACACAACATTATTATGGATATCAACAAAAATGCTTCGGCGCAAGGGCATGCTCTATTTTATTTAACTGAAACAAAGTATATTTAGAAGCAAACTATTCCAAAGTTTGTTGGTATTGCTGCACAAATATCAACAGCTCAGTTGTATAATTTCTATTTGCAAAGTATAAAGTTGAATATAGGTAAAAATGGACAGTCCGGTATAAGTTTCCTCACATTCCGAACAAATGAGAAAATGCATAGGATTTGTGCAGCAGTTTTATAAATCTACAGAATATTCTTCTTAGCATTATACAATTTTTATGTAAAAATAAATAGGATAATCCCTTGCGCAGAAGCTGTTTTGTTGATGTGATTCAATACCTCCAGTAGGTAAGATCAGTGACGTCATAATATGACGTCATAATGTGTACTGGCTATGATATATCATTGGTACTAAGTATGCATAAGAAAATAAATCGACACTTTCTCTGGATTATAGACATACCTCTTATGCATTTCTATTGGCTCATTTGCATAGAAACGCCTATACCTAGCCTTAACTCACATGCGCAGGTTAAAGTTTTTGGAGCAGATGTCATTTCCAAGTAACTATAAGCCCTATATTGACCAAACTTGCATGGATGATACATCTAAAGATGCACACTACTTGACTTGCTTCGGATGCTGAATCTGACCTATATTTTATGGATGAGTGACCAGGTTAAAGTTTTTGGAGCAGATGTCATTTCCAAGTATCTATAAACCCTATATTGACCAAACTTGCATGGATGATGCATCAAGGGGCGAAAAATCTCAAAACTTGCTTTGGATGCTGGATTTGACTTACATTTTCTGGATGAGTGACTAGATTTAAGTTTTCAGATAAGTCTATTCCTAAGTAACTGCAAGCCCTATCAGACCAAAATTGCATAAATGTTGCATCTAGGGATGCACACTCCTAGATTATTAGTTTAGTGTTGGACTTTCCCTTACTTAAAGACAACATTCGTTGAGGTGAGCTCTGTAATCTCTGATTACCTATGTTTGTGATGAACAGATAGTCAAGACAACCATACCAAAACTAGTATGTCTCATCTTTTGAGAGAGACATGATTATCTCAAATTCTTTTGATAAACTAAATCATCTTATTATGGAACGTTTTGATCAACAAGGAACCTTTAATCAGTGTTTGAGATTTCTCCAAGAATTCAGTTTCTCACTTTTTAAAATTTCGTTTAAAAAAAATTATTCTGGTACTTTGTTTAATTGTATTATCTGAGCATTACGTTTTATTTTCCAGTTGAGAATTTTGTACTTAGATCTGTTCAATCTTGTGCACAGTAAGCTTTAACACAATTTCCCCACGGCCTGTTAAAAGTTATTTTTCCATGAAATGAAGTATTGTATTGAATTTGAATCTTGGGAAAATCATCAGACAGCTGTAGAATTACTCTTAGGAGAAAATGTGGAATTCTTTACTGTCTTGGAACCCAAAACACTTGTTTAATTATACAATATAAAGCAGTTAAAGAGGATTTCTGTTCTGCCCTTTCATGAAACATTCCCAAGTGTCTGGACTACATTTTTCAAATGGTTTTTTAATCTGACTGTTCAGTAATGAATTTTGCATTTTGGTATTTGGGGATTTAGGATTTCTTGTAAACTTTAAAGGAATGGTTTTGGTCCATGATGCATTTTTACTAAACTGAACTTTTGATAAGTTTTATGGTTTTTTTTTTTTTTTTTTTTTTTTTTAAATATTATTATAAATAAATTAATTGTACATAAATTTATTACATACAGTAGATAATCAGATTTTCCCAAACCTTATTTTTGCGAGATTGTCATTTGATGTTTATAAATGAGACATAATTTTTGCAAATTTGGTTATTTTTTTTTTTAATCATTAGTGATAAAAATACTGTGGAATCATCATTGAATTTGGGGGACCACTGTTCGTGGATTTCATGGGTCACCCTTACCCAAGAATTTACATTCCCACAAATGTTTATTTTGTAAATTTATTGATTCATTGATTCTATCATATAAATGGGTAACCCACGAAATTACGTCCCCATGAACAAGTAAAATTTTGCTTGCCCACAAACATAAACTCCCATGAATTAAAATAATTCCAAGGTATACTTGAGAATTTGATTTTCACGAGCAGGCAGTCTCACATAATTATGTGGAAATAAAGTGTTCGCAAATAAAAAGTGATTTACATTAGTCTACTTATAGTTCTTACATAATCTATGCAAATGCAAACAGTTCATATTAATCAGATTTGAAGTCATATTCACCGGATGGTCACTGCACATGAAATGGAAGTTGTTATGTCACAAATGTAGCCTCAAGTAACATTGTAAGCAATGGCTGCCACAGTGGACCCAGCTTGACATTTCAGCAGGAAAAATGTTAGGCTAGCCTTTCACTAAATTTTTATTTAAATATTTTGATGGGAATTGATGTTTTATAGACTACAAAAGTAAAACAGCGAGGTTTTAACTTGTATTCAGTACAAATTCAAAATTTTCTGCAACAGAAGTTCGTTTATGAAAATGGTATCATCATCTTCAAAGCTTATTAATTCAATACCAGTTTATATAATAAAACGATTTTGGACTACTGTGAAATCACTTATTTCCGGGGGTGGGGGTTGGGGTTAATTTTCATTGTTTTGAGGTATATAGAGACCCACAAATTCATGTCAATGTAAAATTTCATATACTAACTACTCGACATTTTTCCAACCGCAAAATCAAATTCCCTAAAAACAAAATTTTTTTCTTTAAACCTTGAAAATTTGACCCCAAGAAATATGTGATTTAAGGAATAACTTTCTTATTTTTTGGATTCATGATGTGATCAATTGAGAGGCTTGCGTGATAATTTGCATAAACGCCGAAGGCGTTTATGCATAAAATTATCACGCAAGCCAATCTATTGATCATCATCATGAATCCAAAAAATTTGACAGTTAAACCTTATATTTACATGCTCCTGATTCTGCAAATTCCCGTGCTAATAGCCCTGCTTCTGTCTCTATTTGTCACGCCCCGCACGTGATTTTTTTTTAACCGCGCCTATCAATGAACCAGTAGATTTATGTAGAAATAAAGTATTTTTACAATTTGTAATTTTATCTTGGACAAAGACATTGGAAATGTAAATATTTCACAGTACTTCGGTGGTTAATATGGTTTGATATTTTTCTGGTGAATGTCAAAACATATTAACCACTGAAAGATTCCGTAATTGTATAATATCAATGATTTTAGTACATGTAATACATATATTTGAATTTGAACAGAAGAGTTGCTAATTTTTTTTCGTGTAAAATTTTGTACAAAACAATTTTTTTTTTCTTAGAGAATTGCTCATTATTGGTGGTGTCAATGTGAGAGATCAGGTGGAAACACTAGAAAAAGGGGTAAGTATGATATCTGATATCAAATTCTGGATATCTGACTTGAAAAATGAAGGATAATGTAATTGATATTTGCCTTGCTTCTTCTGGCCTTGATATTCATGTAGGATATATGAAGATGTGACATCTGATGTCCAGGACCTAATATCTGACATTGCACTAAGACAATCTTAAGGTCAGATGATATGTTCCTCGAATATCTGTTTTGTATACCTTCGAATTATGTGGAAAATATTAAAAATTTTAATTACTTTCTGATTTATAAACTGATTTCTAATTGTCTTTAAAAAAAATGAAACACCAAAAAATGTGTTATTGGCTAATTAAGTTTCTTCCAAACGGATTTTATAGGAAAACCATGCTCTGGTATCTTCCACAAATGCCTGGTAAGGTACCTCAATTTTTTGCGAGTTAACATGTTAAAGTAGCAATACTTCAATGACAAAATCTTAGAAAAAATTATATATTATTGAGGAACGCATCGTCTGTCCTTAAAGTGACAGTATGGCTGCAAAATGTGTGTTTGTGTTTTCTTTTCAGTCAAATTTACCCAGTATATCATTAAGAAATAAGGTATAAAGTTGATGTCAACAGTTTGAGAAACATGAATATCTCTCCTCAAACAAAATTAACCTTATTAGAATCTGCTGGAAATCCAAGGGTTGTACAAAACAGAACAATCTTAGTTGTGTTTATTTGTACCACGTGAATTCTGAATTAATTCCTTTAATTTTCCGAAAGTTAATATATTTTATGAGAGGAAAAAAATTCCAAATCCTATCGGAAAATTTTATCAAGTCTGTTTTTTGATGAGATGCGCTGTACTGTCTCTATAAAATTTGATCTCAAATTTCTAGGATTTGATATCGGTTATTGAGAACTTCAGCATTACTTGTTTAACATAGCAATGTACATGCTAAATTTCAATTCATATTTAAGCTTGATCTGTTTCTTTATGAAAGGGAATATTTTCTGAATTTAGATGAAAAAAAAAGTGTCCTTCATTCAGTGTATTTGCTTGAGATGTAAATTAAACACAGAAAAAAACCCACACATATTGATTGAAATGAAGAGGATTTCAAGAAATACAGTATATTAGAGGACTCTCATTAATTAACATTTATGAAATATTTATTTACCACCATAATGAGTACATGTACCTCATAAATCTGTATTATCTTGAAATGCTCTCTTTTTTAATTTGTTTATTTTCTTTATTTAATACATGCATTAACCAATATTTCAAACTTATCTTACATTGTCAAAAACTGGACAATTTATTTACTTTGTTACTGTAAGCATTTAAAAGATTAATGTTTCATTTTCCTGTTCTTATTTATCTTGTGTTTAATTAAATGTGCCAAATAATCCTATCTTAATGTAAGATTTACATAAATATCTCATTGTTATCACTGGGTGAAATAAGCAGTTTCCCGTCATGGGAAACTATATGGAAACCACATGGAAACCTCATGTTTACATCATGTTTCCTAGTGGTTTCCGCAGCGGATGCCAGGTTATTCCGTCAAGTTTCCGTACCACGGAAACTACTACGCTCCGATTCCATAAGGTATCCCGAACCACAGAAACCTCAGGAAACCTGAAGTTTCCTGAGCTTCCATGTAGTTTCCCGTAATGGAAAACCTGAAGATTCCACTGGTTTCCATAATTAGGAAACTATGTGGAATCGGAGCGTAGTGGTTTCCATGGAATGGAAACTCGATGGAATCCTCAGATTTCCTATGAATGGAAACTAGAGGAAACCTCGTGATTCCTCAAGTTTCCATGACTCAGGAAACTATATGGAATTGGAGCGTAGCGGTTTCCGTGTGATGGAAACTTGGTGGAATTATCTGGTGTCTCATAAAAGGAAATTACAGGGAAACTTCAAGATTCCCTTATTTTTCTGAGACGGGAAGCAATGTGTAATTGTGGTGTAATAGTTTCCATACCATGGAAACTACAGGGTAGGTTGAGCATTTCAATTTTGAAAAATGATTGACAAGCAACTGGAAGCTCAAGGATCCCTGTATTTTCCATGATTAATCTTTCTTGTCTAGAATGTGAAAAGAGAACAGCAGGTTTAAATCAAATATATATTATTAATTTCCTTGGTAAACTGTGTTTTCTTTTCAAAATCTATCAAGAAAATGTATAAAAAGAAAAAGCATTATCAAATCATATGTTTAATAATTCATTTGATGTGCAAAAACATTATTTGAAAATGATATCAAAATAAATAAAATCATATATCTTGGTACACAATGAAGTAGTCTTTCACATCTAAGTCCATTCATAAAAACTTCTTTAAATACTCTATACTTCTTTCAACATCAGCTTCCTTTGTATTTTCTTCACATCATCTGCGATCTGCAATATATTTTCATATAAAATTATTATTTGTTGTAAGAATTGTATGCTTGAATATTATTTAGAAATCTTACAAGATCACTCAATGTCCTTTAATGTACCAATATCAGTGATTATAATTAGTTTCAGTCTTTAAATTTAATGACATGAAATCCTAATAATGAACATTACATGGTAAGGTTTTAAGCCAGATTAATATTAAAGCAGGTAAGATTGAGAATATGACCATCTCGTACATGTAGAACACTGCTTTTAGTTGAGTGAATTGGAGAGAAATGTGCTCTGGACAAGGATATTAAGAATCTTTTTTTTTCTTATTGACATTTGACCTAGAAATTTTGTTAAAGATCACTAAAAACCCTTCATCCCATGGCACACAAGCAAGATCATACCAAGGGAGAAAAATTATGGTCTGGACAAGGACTTTAAATAAAGATACATGTATATAGTGTGTTTTGATACTGACCTTTGACTTTGATCATTGGTCCAAGGTCTTTTTACCCTCCATCCACAGGCACTCTATGAGTTAAATGTGAGTGAGATAGGGCTAAGAGGAGAAAAAATATACTCAGGACAAGTGATATCAGATGGACAGACAGATCATCTCATGGCATCTGCAGAACAGAACCCTAAAAAAACAATGCACATACATGTTAAGCTATATCCATACAAGTCAATATGAATTTATCATACACATGTTTTAATCATGTTTCATACCTTATGAATAATTTCATATTACATGTACACCCAGTTTACATACAAATAATCTAAATTTCATCAAAAATGAACAACATATCAGCCATTCAAGATTTAGCTAATCAACATTCAGTACAAGTTCTATATGCTACATCATATGTACAGACACATACTAGTATTATTTACCTGCATTCTAAATCTTGTTTTATGTCATTGAAAATTAAGGCGATAGCCATTACCGATAACCAGTTTTTACCCCCAATTTACATACATGAATGTTGTAATGTTTGTTCAAAACTTCTCATTTATAAATATTATCTTATAGTATATTTAGTTAACATATACCTACAGTAAAAGCTTCAAAGTGTTTCATTGAATATTTTAGAAATTACAGTCATCAAAATACTGACCAGCCAGAAATCAGTAAATTTTTATTTTTCATTTTTGTCTTGTTTCATTTAACATATTTCAATGTTAGAAAGTTTTAGTAAGTTATAATATTTACTACTTTAGCATAGCCATACAGTTGAACTTTGGCATCTTGAATACCATAGATATGTGGAAGTAATTTGGAAGTATTCTTTAAATATTTTACTCCTGATATCTCGAATCCTCAAATACATGTATCACAAAATAATTCTAATTGATCTTTGAACCTTGACAAAAGGACTCTTAAACAAATATTCATTATTCTTAAAATAAAGTCTACAGGTTACAGAATTATAAGTTGCTCAACAATGATCATATCAATAATATCTGAAAGAGTTGATCATTTCCCCTTGGGGTGAAAGGGGGGGGGGGGGGGAGCGGGCTTCCTCTGTACAATTTAAAATATCCTTACTTTGTGTCAACCTTGGTTAAAATTAGTGGTTCTTGAGAAGAAGTTGAAAATGTGAAAAGCTCATTGGTGGATCGACAGTTTGATGGACAAAAGACAAAACAAAAGGTATCAGAAAAGTTCACTCGAGTTTTTAGCTCGGGTGAACTAAAATCCTCACTGCATGGTGTATATTATGCTAGACATCATCCAGACAGAAAATTTTATAGAGAAGTGAAAAAGACTCCAAGCCATACAATTTCATAAGACCAAACAAAAAAATAGGTTTGTTTACTGTTACATGCTGAAATAAAATAGGGTTGGTAGGTAGATTAAGATGCATGTAAAAGTTAAACTGATGAATGAGTGACTTATGGATTTTTACAACGAAAAAAAATTTCATTTGGGTTGGCTATTAGATATTGGGTCGGTGGGGGGGGGGGGGGGGGGGAGGAGGGGGGGGGGGGGAGGAGGGGGGGTAACCGTAAACAAACATTTTTTTTATTATGCCTAACCTGTTGTAGTTTGCAGCTGGTAGTTCAACATTCCAATTAAAATTGGAATCAAGTTCTTTTCTTTTAATGCAATTGTCATACATGCCTATTTATGATTGAATTTATTACCACTTACATGTACCACATGATCACATCTTGATTCATCATACATCTTTAGTTACTGGTTCTCCTTTAATGTCAGTTTTCTTCTCTCTGAAAGAATATATTATGTACAGTTACTATTGCATTCTGATCTCACTTATAAGACCAACAATAAACAAGAGTCCTAGGGGCGACATTGCTCACCTGAGCACTTTGGGTAGGAAAAAGCATAAATCAGTTCTGTATTTAAAATATAAAAGTGGTTCAGAGGGAGGGGGGGGAGGGGTTATGAATTGTATACTTTCGAAGGATGCTTTTGAATTAATATGATACATATTAGCATTGCTGTCAGGGATGGGCACGATTACTGAAAAATGTAATCGATTAATAATCGATTACTTAGAGGAATTTTGTGTAATCGATTATTAATCGATTACACTCATTTTTGTCCTGTAATCGATTGTAATCGATTACTTTGGAAGATGTAATCGATTAATAATCGATTACTCCCAAGTTTTTATCCC